GCTACTAAGTGTCTGTGGTGATGAATGTTTGTGGATGTGGTGCTTTGTTCTGGATGGTGTCAAGCTTCTTCTGTGTTATTGGAGCTGAACCCATCCAGGCAAGTAGGGTGTATTCCATCACACTCCTGACTTGTGCCTTATAGATGGTGCGCAGGCTTTAGGAAGTCAGGAGGTGAACTATTCATTTCAGAGGGCAGTTGAGAGCTAACCACATTGCTACGGGTCCGCAGTTATATATAGGACACACCAAGTAAGGACAGTAAAGTCCCTCCCTGTAAGGATATTAGTGAACCAGATGGGTTTCAACAACGATTGATAATGGTAACATGGTCACCATCAGACTAGCTTCTTAATGACAGGTTTTTATTGAATGCAGATTTCACAATCTGATGTGGTGTGATACCCGCAGAATATAAAACCATGAAATTTCCAGATGCACTTCTTCACACAAAAAATCATGGAGATCTGGAACTCTCTACTCCTAATAATGGTCCTGCATGCTGGAGGGTGCAGTGAGGGGATTGGGAGTAGTGGGGTGGAGATTGTTAAACTTTCACAGGATGAGGAAATCGATAAATGAATTTTTTTGAGGAAACAGATGATGTGACTTGAGTAAATTCTGGGAAATGGATTTGGGATACAGGTTGTCTTGAAAAGTGTCGGGAATAAGTTCAAGGCCTCAATGACTGTTCCTCCTGTTCATTATATTTGGCCAAAGTAAGCTTAACATTTACATAGGGTATATGACACAGAAAGAGACCATTCCATTCAACCAGACCATACCAGTATTCATATCCATTTGGAACTCTTTTCCTCATGGAAACCTTTCAAAGAAATCCTTTATTCTCTTCTTCCTCAGCTGCTTGTCCCACCCCCAGGCCCCTCCCCGACCTTAAATTCATCCATAGTGCAGCAATTTGCTAAGGATCCTCCGACAGCACCTTCTAATGCTACCAACCAGAAGGACAAGGGCAACATGGAAACATCACCAACCATGGGTTCCCTGGGCACCACACAACATCCTGACATTTTTTAAAAAATCTTTTTTCTACAGTCAAACTGTGGGTCTAGTGACAAACGAAGGCCAGACAAGCGAACAATAACAGATTTCCTTCCCTGCAAGGGGTGTTTTTCAGTCAGATGTATTTTCATAACGATCAATGATGGCACCATGAAACTAAACTTGAGATTAATCCTCAATGCTAGATGTATTTGTTGACTTGAAGTTACACCTGCTGTCATGGTGGGATTTGAACCCACAGTCTCAGAATTACTACAACAAAAACAGAAAGTGCTGGAGAAATTCAGCATTGTCTGGTAGCATCTGTGGAGAGAAACCAAAGTCGATGTTTCAAATCCAGTGACTCTTTATCAAAACTAGTAATGGCTAGGAAATTGTGGTATATATGCTGAAGACAGGGTTTGGTGAGAGAGGTTGGTATATGAGTGAGAGGATAGGTGGAGACAGAGCGCAGAGAGACAGAAAGACAGTTAGGCAAAGGGATGGATAATTGTGTGCCAGGGAAGAGGAAATGGGGACTATAAGTAGGTGAAAATGGATTGGCTGTGCATGACAGGGCCTAGCTGTGGGGATGGATAAAGGACATGGAAGAAGGTATTCAAACTCTAAAATTATTGAACTCTATAATTATTGAACTCTATATTGAGTCCTGAAGGCTGCAGGGTCCCCAAGCAGAAATGAGATGCTATTCTCCCAGAATGACCAATCCAGTGATGTTATCACCATGTAACTTGCTCCCGCACTTGGAAATACATTGCCGTTCCTTCAGTGTCACTGGGTCAAAATTCTTGAATTCCCTCCTTAAGGGAATTGTGGGTCTACCTACTGCATGTGGACTGTCGTGGTTCAAGATAGCAGCTTACCACCACCTTCTCAAGGGCACTGTAGACAAGCAATAAATGCTGGCCACCCAGCAATGCCCAAGTCTTTTGAACTAATAGAAGATAAATTAGTCACTTCAATGATAACTTTCACATTCTCACCATTCTCTGTCAAATTCTACCTTAAGTTTGGTTATTTGAACCTGTCAATTTCTGTGTTAGTATAAATTTCACCAGTTGCCAAAATCAAAAGGCAATTGCAAGGACACTGCAGGACCTTAGAGCTGTACTAACACAACCACTTCATGTGTCCTAAATAAGCCTGAGCAGCATTTGAAATCAGACTTGATGTTGAGTTATCTGGGCAGATGAAACTAAGCTGGATCAAACCTTTGCCAAAATGAGATCAAGTCTCTTGGAAACAGAGCAGAAATATATTTTATGTTATGACACACCTGCAGAGCAGGAAGGATTTGAAACAAGGCCTCCTGGCTCAGAGGTAGGAATACTACCTTGGTGCCATAGGAACCCTCTGATTATTTGCCAGCACTGCACATGTACAAGCGTTGTGTTAGATTTGCAAACTGTCTCCTGACCTATCACACCCTGACTACCATTACCCACTGACTGTTCTGCAGTGTTGCCTTGCCCTTTCTATTCCACTTTGTAAATCTACCTTCATGTGAACCCTCTACCACCATCTCCCCACTGGTTTAGTTAAAGCCCCCTCTGTAACTCTGTTTATATAATTCACCTCCTCTCTAATGGTCTTTGATGAATTTCTGCTGTACATCTTGTAGATAGTAAACACTGCTGCGACTGAGCGTAGGTGGTGGAGGGAGTGGATGCTTGTGGATGTGGTGCCAATCAAGCGGGCTGCTTTGTCCTGGATGGTGTTGAACTTCTTGAGTGTTGTTGGGGCTGCACTCATCCAGGCAAGTGGGGAGTATTCCATCACACTCCTGACTTGTGCCTTGTAGATGATGGACAGGCTTTGGGGAGTCAGGAGGTGAGTCACTCATCGTAATTCTCCCTAGCCTCTGACCTGCTCTTGTAGCCACCCTGTTTATGTGGCGAGTCCAGTTGAGTTTCTGGTTAATGGTAATCTCAATCAAGTTGATAGTGGGGGATTCAGTAATGGTAACACCATTAAATGTCAAGGGGCAGTGGTAAGATTTTTTTTTTGGTCATAGCCTGGTGTTTGTATGGTGTGAATATTACTTGCCATTTTTCAACCCAAGCCTGGATATTTTCCAAGTGTTTCTTCATTTGAAAATGGACTACTTCAGTATCTGAGGATTAATGAATGGTGCTGAACATTGTGCAGTGATCAGCGAACATCTCCGCTTCTGACATTATGATGGAAGGAAGGTCATTGATGAAGCAGCTGAAGATGGCTGGGCCTAGGTCACTACCCTGAGGAATTCTGTAGCAATATCCTGGAGCTGAGAGCCTTCAACATCCACAAGCATCTTCCCATGTATCAGGTATGACCCCAACCACCAGAGAGTTTGCCCCCGATACCATTGATTCCAGCTTTGTTCAGATATGGATGTCACTGAGGAGCCATTGATTCTCCAGCTGTAGCTTCTCTTCAGAATTGTTAAACAGGAACCAGTCAATGAGATAACAAGGTGTAGAGCTGGATGAACACAGCAGGCCAAGCGGCATCAGAGGAGCAAGAA